AAATTTTGTATGAGGGGAGGCAAGTGAAATTGATTCAGAACTGTAACGTGTTTATTTTTTGCATTTATTTTAAAATAATGCTGCAGATATCAGGAGAAACTTTTGCAGAAGTTTAGCAATAAATTTTATTTTTCTCGCTTAGAACAACTGTTTGACGTGCTTCCTGTTTTCTTTCTCAAGACATGCAGAGGTCGCTTAAATTTTTCTTGATTAATATTACTGATGTAAAGGGTTTTGTACATTTTTACTAATCACTTTTTTAAACCTAAATTTCTACTAAAATCATATGTAAAAAAAGTCAATTGCTTGTAGGTTGCTATTCTTTTTGGATGTATATTACCAGGTTGTTTGAACTACTTCGGTGTAACGGTAAACACGGATGATTCACGTTCTAATATTTTGCAGAGAGTGAAAATTGTTTTATTAAAAATGAAAATTTTATTCAGGGAATTTTGGTGAATAAAGTTACAACCGACTATCTTTTAGCAGCTTTCTATCTGTTTGTCGCAGTGCTTCGTAATAGCCAAAAACAAAATAACTGTAATTTAAACTCCTAATCAGGTAAAGACTCCTGAAAAACACACACTTAAGTTTTAAGTTATTGGAAGGTCAATGATTTAGGACATTTAACAAAGTTTAAAAACTTTTGTTTCTAGTTTCACAACGAAATATCACTCCAGTAGTTTTTTTCTTAAGAGCTTGATTATAGACCATTGTTTGGGACTATTCTTTCATTTCAAACGCCAAAAAAAGATGGTTTACCTTTGACACTGTTAATTTAGTGACTAAGAAATCTATTTTTATTCAGTGCAGAGAGATTTTTTTAGCCATATACGGAAAGCGCTCAAATGAGAACTGGTACTTTTAATACCTTCAGCCTACTTCTCTTTTTATTATGCCTCTTTATATACCATTATTAAGATTCTTAAAATATAAATAAGTAACTTTTTTCTTTTCAGATACTAAAAATGGATATTGTTGCTTTTGACTTCTCCAGTGTTACTCTGTCAGTAACATACAATTTACAAATTGCTTATTTTCCTGGGAATGCCACTCGTATTACACGTTTGGTAAAAAATGAAATTTTCTTTTACTAATGCTGCAATGATTCAGCCAAACTTACTCTTCAGAAAAATTGCTCTAAAAATTTAACAGGATCGGTCTCAGTACGGTAATTTAAACAACAACATCAGTATTGGAAACTTTTGTAAAGTACCAAAAAACCTCTAAGGACAACAAGCATGCTTTGTTTGTCATCAATCCTATTTCATTTGTATTTGTGGTACACGACCAGGATTACACAGGTGAAATGACTTCAGGTTAATTTGCTCGCAATTACGCATCATTTTTTATTCACACTATGCTGAACTTTAGTCATAGCGAGAAAGTATTATGGTCTCCAAAGCAGCAAAAATGAGTTTTGGGTTTTGAACATTATTATTCAAACAACTATCTTCATTTAATAATTTTTTTAAAAAGATGAGTTAAAAATGATTATTAAGTAACCTAACGTGTCAAGCTAAGTAAAGAATTACGTAAGAAGAAGAAGCACTGTGGCACTTAAACGTTTTCAGAGATAATCTGACTGTTCATTTTGAAAATATCAAAAGTTGTTTGGTAAACAGTCTTACCGCTTCAGTTCAAGACCTACAGGTCTTTTCATTTCTAAATTATCGCTGAATACTCCGCTGACACAATGCGCATATCTGCTGAGACAATTCCACTCCTTCAAATACTAATTTCTACATGAATACAATCTCGTTACAGTTCCCCGTATTTAAACTGTCCGTTCTGGATCGTTCTTACACAGTCATTTGAACGATCTATAAATAAACTACCAGACTATGTTAGGCTTCAGGTACATGTTATTTTTCTTGAACTAGTTCGTGTGCTTCGCACGAGTCTGCTGCATTCCCAGAAGATTCCTCACTTGTCTAGAAGATTTATTCCATAATCATCCAATACTCATTAGAAAGTTCCAAGGGGCAACTATATAACCGTTTAGTTTCTTTAAATGTAAAAGTCTGGTTTAGGAAATTTAGGAGTTTTTGGTAATTCTCCATGATGAGGAGCAATGCCACAAACCCATAAAACAGAAAAGCTCAAAAAAGACACTTGACTCAAAAAATTGAACTTTGGTCTTTTACGAGACTAAATAGAAGACTAAATAGAAGAGTAACTCATTTTTTAAGTTTTCTAAAAAGCAGAAGCTAGTTTTTGAACAAACACTTTAGACGGGTCATAAGTCTTTCAGAGCTCTTAAGTCCTGCCAAAAAAAAAAAAAAACACAAACCTGTGCAAAAGAAAGACACACAACTTCAAGAATTGTTGCACTTCAACCCTTAATGTAAATAAAAAATCGAGTAATTGATCTTTAAGGGTTTCTTTTAACTACAGTTTGGCTCCCAAATAAATAC